CACCGCCACCCTCCATTCCACCCCCACAGAAGAGGAGGGTCCTTAAACAACGGAGAATCTTGGAAAACAAGTATGATGCGCCAATCTCCTATTTATAAACCAAATATATCGAGAAGTGATACACTCAATGGACATACATCTGTATCCCTAACCACTAAAAATGGAAGCGAAGTGAGAAAATGAAAGTAACTTCTTTAACCCGTTGAACCAATGTAGACAAGGAATACAAAAATAATTACCCCACAGCTATCATCACTAACGATACCAAAAAGTACTCGTCAAATCTTCATCTAATCCTCATCCTCAGAATCTGTAAAGAAAATACAAGAAAAACATTTCAATATCAATTCAAATCATGAAATTTACCCATTTCAATATCGTGTTCAGTCGATATATCTTTGTTGGTGTAAAACTACTTTTAGAATTAATCATAATATTTGCTTCAATGTTAAATGACATATATATGTACTTCTTTTCGCCATAAAGTTTTAGAGCCTTTTTGAAGGTGTCTCCATTAAACTGCTTTTTAGGCTACTAACAATCATGCTGAAACTCTCTCCATGAATGAAACATGAAATATGATGAATAAGACATTAGGTACTAATAACTTGTTGGAAATTATCCTACATTAATCTAAGACTCTCAGACAGGACTTGTTATAGGGTTACCCTTTTTCCTATTTGATCAATGAGAAAATGGAAGTGCATCAGTAAAGTTATGTACCAGATCTTATATCCTCTCCAACTTTCCCCCTATTTTTCAGCTGTCTACTGATCATAGAGCATATGAGTAACCACCAGTATATGTGGAACACAAGCAACATCAACAACATTGTGTTGAAAACATAGTATATCGATCTGGAATTCACATCTGATAGCTTCAAGTACTCACAGAGATCATAACTGAGAAGTTTCAATCACAAAATCAGATAGGCAAAACAGTGAGTATTGAGCCTAATATTCAAAGACAAAATCAAACACCAGAAGCACACACCTTGTTGCTTTTATAACCCAGAATGGAAAGAATATAAGCCGCAATATGAGCCATGAAATGGCAAAACATCCAAAGAAGACGCTTGCTCCAAGTTCATTCTCAGAATATTTAAAAACCTTGGCAGCTTCCATGAAGACATCACTTGCATCATGGAGCGCAAGAATAACCGATCCAATCTGGAAAAATCTGCAAAATTGAGCATAAAAATCATGATTTAACATGTTATCTATTATCATAATCAATCCACCTTTCCATAATAAGAAATGCAGAGAGAAACAATGACAGTTGAGCAATCTTTGTACACACACCAAAAAAAAAAAGAAAAAATAATAAATAAAAAAAAAAGCAAAAGAAAAATGAAAGTAGAGGCGTTAAAACAAAACTTTGACCCCTGAATACACAAACATAAAGTTATGCAAATACGTGTAACTTTCACACATTGTTACAGTGACACCAACATAATTAAAGAAAAAGGAGGGTCACATCCTAAAGTGTGGGGTTCCAGTCTAGGTTACAGAAAACAAACATAATCAAGGACCCAAAAAAAAAAAAACTCACGGAACCCCAAATTGAGACCATAAGGTGTG